GGTGGGAAGGCAGAAACAGAACGTTGAAGACACCAACTGCAGATCACAGCTGAAGCTGGGCATAGTATGCATAGTCAATGCGCTGGGAAAGCGCCGCATGAGCACGAGGCCAACCGAGAGGCGTTCGGTCATGGGACCTACGCTCAGGTGACTCAGGGGAACTCCGAACAGGTTGGTCCAGTGGTGTGTGACCGGAAGGTTTCCGGTCCGTCGCAATCATGGTGTCCGGCAACGGTTTCCAAGGATGCAAAGAACGCCTGCAGAGGATGTACCTAAAGGCTGGCATTTGAGCTCGTTTTATTTGGTATATCTGGACTCATGTGGACATTGATGCCAACCGAACTGTGGAGAAACACGGGTTTGACTTCACCGCCGCCATGCGTGTATGCCTTGTGGTGGCGGGGTGGGAATTTGAACCTCCACCCCTTTCGGTCTTTAAGGGGTGCTGTGCATTGATAGCATCATGGCCATGCAGTGGGAGTTTGAACTATGAGGGCAGCCTCGCTCTGTGGTCACTGTAATCGCGAAGAGCACGCTGAAGAACCAGCCCCATCTTCGGACAACGAAGCCGGAGGCCGAGAGACGATCTGCAGAAGGAGAGCATGGTGGAGTGCGATCCGCGTGCCAAACACCAGTTCCGATTCGGTGTCATCCAATGCCAGGGGATCTGCCAGCAATTACGTTTTCAAAGAGGGGCGGCAAACGAGACTGCAAGTTGAACCTCTGTAGGCCATGAAAAAACACGGGGATCGGTTATGGCCTTGCAGTTTGCGTTGGGTTTTCCAGCCATCCCCTGTGACGACGGACGGTACGGTTCGGACGGTACGGTTCCACCACAGGTCACAATGGGCTCCCATAAAGGTCACCAATTTCACAACATGCGGTTGCTGCGTGCTCTGTTCTTCCATCGCATATACTTTTGGTATGGTCCATTTCGAGCATGCAGAGCTTGACGCGACTTGATGTGTGCGAGAGAACATAAAATCTCACTGTTGATTTATCGTGCCTCCGCGTCAAACTCGACTCGAGGGTTCTGCGTTTGGCCGACCACCTGCGATTCTTTCGCGGTGCAGACTTCGTATCCGGCGATGTGCCGTGAGATGTTTCAGCTCCCAGCTCGGTGCTCCTTTGCTCCTTGGCTTGCGCTTTCTCGAATCTGTACTTGGATGCTCTCGTGCAGGCGTGACTGTTCGGGATCGGTATGCAGGGTTTCCTTTGGGTGCCTGACCTGATGTCGCATGCTGTTGCTAGATCTGGCGTAACTTTCGAATCGCAGGCCGAATGCACAGTTTCAACGTCTTCTAATGCAGCTGCCTGCTCTTCGTGTCGACGGCGCACGGCTACAAAGTTTGTTGAGTAAGTGAGCTGAACTGCATACATGCCAAGGTCATTCATTTGTCACGTGTTATTTGTGACTCTGCAGTTTGTCTGCTGCAGCTTGTTTCGGTGCTGCTGGCTCATTTGGTCTTTGGATCTTGGTTTGGGAACTTTGCCCACTTTGCCCCTTCTGCAGGAGCCCTCCGCCAGAGGATGTCCAAGCCGGAGGCCTTGCTGGACTTGGAGGTGGCTCAGCGAGATGCAGCCTGCCCTATGCCCCTCTTTTCGCTTCGGCCTCAACCCATAGCAGCTATAGCAGAAGTCCAAGAAAGGAATGTGAAATTTCGGAAAGGGCGCACTCTGAAGGCTGCTCGGAAGATACCGTCCGCGTTTGTCTCGGCATGGAATTCCTTCTCATCGGCCTGGACTGGTGGCTAGATTGGTTTCGAAGTTTTACTTCGAAGGACACTTTCAAGCATAGCAAGCAGAGGCCAGCCAAAGCGTGGCAAGAAGCAAAATGGGGTGACACGTGGTGAGAGTCATACCACGATGCTACATGTCTCATGAGTTTATTGGGAAGCCTTTGGCGGCGGGAAAGCGGCACAAAGGAGGGTGCTTGGAAAACAGAGTTTTGTCCAGGATTTGGAGGCCTGGAACCTCAGACAGCCAGCAATGCAGAGAATGGCAGATCTTCTCCCGGCTAACGACTGTTTTTGTTACTCTGCTTGTTGTGTACATGTTTGAATAGGAACGTGTTGACTTGACATGATAAGATTCGACGGTGTCGAAGCGTGTGAGACATCCAAGAGACGCAGGGAGGGGCGGAAGGACGCTCCAACAACGAATCAGAACACACCAAGCAGGACCAGAAGCCGGGAGAAAAAGCCACACCGTCAGAAAGTTGAGGCACGTTTCGTATACGGTTGGCTGAAATGAATTTTTGCAGAGCTTTCCCTCACCGCTGTACCTTGTTGAAGTGAACGCCGCTTGAACATCGAACTGCTTGTCTCAACACTTCTGCAGACATGCACATGCGAAGCTCTGGATGCTGAGGAAGTATTCCAGGCACAAGTGTCCATGATGGGACCGGACCACCCGGACACCCAGTCGACCATCCAAGCAATCAATGGCCTTGAGGGATGGGAAGGACAGCATCGCTAAAGCTGCAACGTGGCCCGAGGATGAGTTAATTTTCTCGCGGAGTTATTCTGCTGCCTGCAAGGACAGTACAACTTGCATGCGCGGTATCAGGGAGCACTAAGCAAGCTTGCTTCTGCCAATAATCGAGCCTCGGCGGATCCTAGCACCATTTGTTAAACAAATCCCGTGTCGCTTGTCGTCGTTCACTTGGCATTCAATTCTTCCTTGCATCGGGCGAAAGGCTTTGCAAAGCGGACAAAGGCGACGCAGAGCAACAGCGACAAAATGGCCCCGTGGCTTATGTTGAGTTTTTGCTTTCCCGGTTTGATTCTTGTGCGTTTCATGGTCTTCTTGCTCTCGTCAGTTCAGCTTTGTCATAGCTTGTCTTATTGCTATTCTTCCTCTTCTGCTTCTCATTTTCCTGGAACATGAAATAAGAGAAATATTGACAATGATAATATCAAAAGCGTGGATAGCAACAGGGGGAAGAGGAGTGCTAATGATATTAATCATACGAGATCATACGAGTAATATGAACAGTTCCGATAATACAGACAACACAAATAATGCCAGTTTGAAGAGCAATATTAATACTAACGACGCTACGAATACTAATAGTACGTTTATTACTAATACCAACAATGCTAACAACCCCAATACAGCTAATAATACTAATAGTGCCAAAAATACTAATATTGCGAAAAATAAAAGAGTACGCAGACAATTAATGCTACTATTAATGCTAGTAAGTCAAAACACTTCATTAATGCAAAAAATGCTACTGTCGCGAATATCACGAATATTATTGATCATACTTACACTATTGTTAGTATTGATGAATAATACTTATAATGCTAATAGTACGAATATTGTTATTAATGCTAACAATATTAATAGTATTAACAATACGAGCAATACGAATAACACGAATCATACTGAGAATACTAAGAACGCTAGATTACAAATAGTACGAATAATAATAATCATACGACGAATATTAGCAATACTGAGAATAATAAGACTGCTAAAAATACTGATAACACGAACAATGCTAATACTGTTTAGTCTGGAGAGCAGGTTGCTGCGGGGCCTGGGTCTTCTGTGATAGTACTAATAGTACTAACAATATCAATATTCATGTTTTTCGTTAAAAATGATGGTGGCAACAATGAGGTCATTAGCAACAACAACATGTAGTAGTAGTAGTAGTAGTAGTAGTAGTAGTCGTGGTGGTGGTGGTGGTAGTAGTAGTAGTAGTAGTAGTACTAGTAGTAGTACTGGTAGTAGTACTAGTGGTAGTGCTACTGCTACAGCTAGTGCTAGTGCTGCTGCTACTGCTTCTGCTACTGCTACTAATAGCGATAATTATAACAGCAACAATTCTAGTACTAATCATAATCATGGTCATAGTAACAATAACAATAGTCAGCGTGCTAATCATAAGAACTTCGCAGGGGAGCAAAGCATAGAATATCGGAGCGAAATTCCACTGTTGGGGCAGCTAGCGGGCCTGCGCCTCTGCAGCCCCTGCCCCTGGAAATCCTCGCTGTACAGCACCTGCACCTCCTCAAGACCTCTGCCAATCCCGCCCATGTGATGGCTGGGTCGAAAACGCTCACGTTAGCTAGTCGTCCCGAAAATCGTTAGAGTCCTCGAAGAGTGGTGGTGTTCGAGATTGCTTGGTGAGTGTGGCTGGCCGCAAAGGTCCAGAGCTTCGAAGCAGCTATACGCCGTGGAGAGCGCAAGCTGGGGAAGCAGAATCATGGAGTCATGAAAGCCAAGTTCAACTTGGCCGTGAGCTGGGCACTGCAGGCCTGCAGTTCAGACCCTGTCATTCGAGTTTGTTAATGGCTTTTGCAGTTCGCATTGCGAGGACCGATCAGCTGAAGCATTTGCGCTTTGGCGTGGAGTTCTTCAGGACCAGCTGCGGCAGCTTGTCAGCCCTGTCGTGCGGCACAGCGTTCTGCAATTGTGAATGCCACGTACGGAGCTGCCTTCGAGGATTCTGTCTTCCAAGGAATGTTGGGCCATTCAATTCCGACACGCTTGCGACCCAGCGGCACATTCTGAGCTGGGTCTACCAGGACGACTGAGGACGACTGAGGACGACTGAGCACAGCCAGGTGCCGCCTACCGGGAACACTGCTGTTGTTTCTTGCAGACTTGGCTTCAGCTCTCACCGTGTTCCGTTTTGCTTGCGACGCTGACGCAACTCTTCGGACAGGTGCCTTTCTCCGAGTCACAGGCAGGACGGGGTGACGGCCAAGCTGGAATACTCGCCCCAGACAGTGAGCGTTCGGTGTTGTCGCGCTGATCAGCGTTTCTAGCGCAAGCGTTGAACAATGCAGGCCAGCGCTGGCCTGTGCATGTACTACTGTACATACGGTTGAGAACAAGGCTGAAGATGCCCGTCTGGCACTTGTGCGAATCCGAGAAATCCAAGTGCACTAGTGTAGCCCTGCCACTTCCAGCACATGCAGCAGCTGCAACTTGCCGTAAAATCAGAGCCACGACGTGAGAAACGGGAGAGCAGTAAATGAAAGGTGAATGTGCGAGCCTTCGAGCTTCTGGACAAGTGGAAGAACTGCGACAGGCACAAGCCCTTCAGATTCAGACCCCCGGAAAGAGAATTTGCTGCTGTGACGCCAGGACTTTGGGGCAAAGCCTTGTCTATGCGCAGAACAAGCTCCGTGCAGAGAACGAAGGCTTTCCTTCCATCATGGAGGCCTGCGCATTGCCGCAGACGGCATTCGGATTCGTTCGGCAACAGCTGCACCGGTGCAGCACCCGAGGTCGGAAGGGGCATGGGCTTAACGCAGCACGAAGTGGCGGCAGTTCTTGGTTGGACAACTGGGGCACCTTGTCGGGTACAGCAAGACTTCACTTTATACTTCATACGTTTGTCTCAGGGCGATATGGACTATACTGACTCATCCAACACGTCGTGCCAGGACTTCAGATTGATCAATCCTATCGCGAGAGGGCAGGAGGAGGTCGAGCGCGGGTCTCGAGCCGGGCTGGACGGATTCAAGCTATTCAAGCCAACATGGCCAGAACCCAGGTTTGAAGATTTCCCTCGTGGTCAACGGACGATGTGCCGCCTTTCTAGAGTCGACGTGATGCCGTATGTCCAGGCCACCCCATGATTCCTCGGTGGGCCATGAAAGGGATTGTAGCAGCATAGCACTTTAGCCGGCTGGCTTGCACATGATTCTGCAAAGATGTGGTCCTCCTGCCACATAGTTTAAGGTCCTTCATGGTGCAGTGCAGAAGCTCCCAGCACTATCGTCGACACAGCCACTGTATCGCGGCCATCGCCGCGAGGTTGCTTTGCCAGTTGGGTCTGTCGTTTTGCTGCGGCCTGACTGCCATTCATGTCGGCAGAGCCAAGAGCAGCGCTCTCGGAGGCTGACATGTGCTCACGTCTCTTATCCTCTCCTCAAACCAGGCCCGGATTTACGAGCACATCCTATGACATGGATGGCGCCGTGGCTTTTGCGAAGCAAGCCAACCAGGGCAGGCCCTACTGTAGTTGATGACATCACTGAGCTCCATTCGTTGATTTTCGATACGATTTTGCGGTGATGGCGAGGTCAGCGAAAAGGACACTACTGGTGATCCAGGAGAGAGCAATCCGACGTCTGGCAAGGTCCAGCAATTTCGAGCTGTGAAACGGGAGGAGTCCTTCAGCGGGCGCTTGATTGCCAAGCTGAGCGCACGCAAGTACGAGGCGGAGGTCCTCTTCCCCATCGACACCACCTTCAAGGTGCTGCTGTACATCATTGCGTCTTCGCCATCGGCACTGTTATGCGTTTTCCATTGGATGCACAGCCAGGTCGTGGAAACCTCCACGTCTCCTGCTACAGAGGCAGCCGCAAACGCCACGGAGGAATTGCGACGAAGCATGAGTGAGGCAGAGTTTCCAGCTACAGCCCCCCACAGCCTCATGCTTGGTGTGCCGATGCTCATGTCGACGCCAGGCAGAAATACGAGTTGTGTGTCTTTGCGAAGTTGAAAAGCCTGAGGCCACCCGTTGCCAGTGGGTGAGAGCTTCACTTAACTCCTAATCCTAGTGGCGTCAGCTCTGCAGGATGCAATTGTTCTTCGCCTCTGATCTGGCACCCCTCCTCCACATGCGGATCTGCATTCGATGCCGGAGGAGGCTGATGTGCAGCGGTGGTAGCCGTTCCGTGTTCGCGATCACAGAGGCGCTGCAAGTTGAGTCTCCAAGCTCATGATGGACATCTCCCGTTCCCGGTGCCGGCTCGACTGGTCTGTGGAGTCTGTGGGGATGGCGCGGGATGGCCCGATGGCCACCTTTGCGTGCGCTATGTCTGTGAAGGTCTCGGACAGTGAGCAAGCAGTGCAGTGCTGAAGATCGCGTCCACCAAGATATGTGCACACACGTGATTTTTGGCAAGCCATGAAGCCAAAGAGTCCGGGTCGCTGTGTGCTTCGTACCTGCAAACGTGACTGAAAGCCATGTGCCTTGTTGTACCATGGCAAGACCCTTGGTTTTCAAGGTAGGTTTGCATCCAGCAACTAGCATCAGTGCAATCAGTAATGTAATGGAAGAGACCGGCATCTCTATCCTCCAGAGGACCAGGGAGCTTGCTAGCTGCGTTGGAGATCTGCAGAACGAGCAACACTACGACCTTTCACGCCATGCCAGTTCTCGTTGCCAACAGGAGGCATTTCAGAGGCAGGGTACTGCGCGAACTGGCACGAGACCTCGTGAACTGTCCGTGCCTCAAGTTTTGGACAAGCCAGGTCATGTTCCGAAGTCTCCGCTTGAAAGTGGCATCCGGGATTGCGAGCCTGCGGGATTTGTATGCAACTTATCCGCATGAAGAGTGCGAAGCAAAGGATACTGGTAACGGTTAGATCACGACAAAGCCCTCTTCAAAGCCAGGTTTTACCGCCAACGCTCTGGATCGCGTTTGCCATCTACTTCCCTTTGGGGTTCATCAACGTGCTGCGTCTGGATTTCTGGATGTAGAGACTTTCACCATTCCATTATTCCTGCTCTTGGAATTGATGCGGCCCAGTTTGTTTCCTAGGTGTCCAGCATCAAGCTCTACCTGCCACTCCTTCGAAGCCTGGTCGCCTGTGATGTGCCTGTTAGCGCCGTGACTGCACTCTGCAAGCGGATGCGGCGCAGATGTGTGGAACACGCACATGCGCGTAAATTGATTTCTCGCTTGCCCTGATGCGGATGCAGTCCAGGTGACGGGGAGTACTCGGGTTCGCTTCATTGTGGCGACCGGAACCTCGTTATCTCTGTAGCACTTCAGCAGGAGGCGTGGCTAGTGGCGCTAAAGCTGCTCTGCCGAATGCTCTCTGGACCGCTCTTGGGTGCACTCTGCGACACCCATGGCCGCACCCTGGCTTTGACAGCCTTGCACAACCAATGTGCCAAGATGCACACAGGCAAAATAACCGGGATCGCAAGCAGATGGACAACTGCATTTCCGTAGTCGCTGGTGTGCAACGAGCCAACTTCCGAGTTCTTGAACTATCAGGTCATCATGTCTTGATTGTGAAAACGCAGAAATGCAAGAACGCTTTTGAGGTGAAGGTTTCCAGACTGTTGAAATCATGGGTCGTCGAGGGCGACGATGCAAACTTCAGCACTTTGCAACGGTCCGAGGTAAGCCTGTGTTGATGTTGAGTATCGGCGGCATTACAATGGCATCCTGGCTGATGATGATGGCGTGCATGCAGACAGCGATCCCGCCGATCATGTTTCTTGGCATTTACTGTACTATTCTAGCATTGAAGCCTGATTCAGCCAGAATGGGTCGAGATCCTCGAGGGAATAGCGCTGTGCAACTTGAAGTCCTAAGACAAGTCACCGGTGTAGAACTGCACGGAGCACGGTGCCAGTTTAGCTGCAGCATCCGCACCTTTGTCACTAGACTCTCTAGAGTCTCTGTCCAAAGGAGCTTCTACTGTTTCTACCCACTTGGACCTTTGAGAGGGACCTCCCGTAGCTCGGCTTGGGCCCTCACCAGGAGCCAAAAGACTCAAGCAATGCTCGACTCCAGTAACGAGCCAAGAAAAAGAAGATCCGTAGACGCCTTTGACGATGTCGACAAAGCGCTTGGGGTCGAGACTTCAGCACGCCCCAGACAGCAATGCAGCTGTCTCGCCCCCAAGTTCGGATCCAGAAAGCTGGAGAAGGCTTCGCTTCGAACAACCCCTGCCACAGACAGCTTGGATTTGCAGATGCCGATTGAAGAATGGCGTGACTGTGGAGGTTAACTGCGGCCAACAAAGTCTTGATGCCACGAGCGCACTCATCCAGACCCTCGCTTGAGCAGGTTGCCTCTGCAATCACCTCCTGACGTCAGACCCTCAACCTGTACTCTCAACCCCTTACTCCCACCCATGAAACCCTCAACCTTAACCTCTGAAACCTCAACTCTCACCCCGTTCACTCCTCACTCTCACCCTGCATTCTTCTTGGTGTTGTGCCAAGGATCCTGACCGGCGCCCTGGCTCTGCAGGGCTGCACAACCGCCTTCAGCCTATGCTTCAAGGCCATGATTGCAGATCAACTGGAAACTGGTCAGCGTGCGAAGGGCTTCGTCGTTTTGAATCATGTTGATGTTGCTTGCCTTCAGCATGACATCATGCGTGTTGGTTTCAACTGCGGTCTGGGACACTGCAGAATTGCCGCTTGTTTCTAGGTTCTCAGTCGTGGCTTGACGCTGTGCTTCGTTATTTGGATCCAGAAGATGCCCAGTTGCAGCACGCTGCTTCTGAACCAGCACAGTGCAGGACAGCAGCAGCATGCCATAGTAGCTAAGGATACAGTTTATGCACTTCGACGTGCTCTGCTTGCTTGCTGGAATGCTTGGCCTCGTGATCCTTCTGGTGTGTTATTTTCAGCTCGAAGAGACTCTGCCGAACCAGGGCACGATTCTGGACACATCAGTTTCAGGCCTTGCTTTCAAGAATTGCAGAGCGCCTTATAGGGGATTAGTCTGGACATATTCCTTCGGCTCATGAACGGGCACAAGCAGCATTTTGTAAAGGAAACGGCTGTAGTCGTTGAATGAAGAATATTTAGTAACACACGCAGTGTGTGTAGGTGCAGGCGTAAGCGATCGCGACTTGATCGCCTTTTCGACTTCCCTTGCTGCTTTCGCCCCCTGCTTCGCCTGCGGTCACGGCCTCCGGCAGCACTCGCCCTCGGCTGACGTCGCCGACTCCGCAGTGGCGGCTGGCTCGACCTGGTCGAGCCTCCTGAATCCTTCGACTGTCCGGCGAATGAAGGCTTTCCCGGGCGATGGCACGCGGCATGGGCGATGAGCCGACCACGCCCCAGCTTTTGGGGCTTGGGCTTACATCGGCGACCATGCCAGCTGTGTGAGACATTGCCAGAAGCAGTGCCGCCGCTGGGCCTACGTGCCGTCGAGGAGGCCTTCCTTTCCACCTTCCCTACGCCAGCCAGCCACTCAAGAGCAGGAACGGCAAGGATATGAGCATCCCCAAACAGAAGGGCTTCATACCCCTCGCCTCCTTCAGGGGCTTGGCTGGCGACGGGGTCCCGTTGCATAAATCCGACAATTCCGTGGTCCACACCGGAAGGCCCCTGCTGGCGCCGCGCGGGGTGGGGGGGTCAGTGTTGGGCGCAGACACTCGGCCCATCTCGGCGTCCCCGGCTTCGTGCTACGCCCCTGCAACATGTCATTTGATAGCGCTTCCAACAGGTTGCATCTGCTGGAGGCAGCTGTAAGGCAGGCAGGCAAAGGCCAATGCCTTAGCGATTTTGCACTATTTGCAATCCCCCGGTTGAGATGAGCGTCCGGGTTTGATGATGATTTTTTTGGCCGGGTGACAGAAAAAATACTTCACCCAACACTAATTATGTGTTAGCGGGTATGCTCCTGCTAGGGTCTATTATGCCGTGTGGCGTCTCAGAATAATCGATTGTTCCGGCATAAGGTCAACAGCACTCAACACCAATCCAGTCTGCAGTGTGTTGTCACCCGGCTCTGCAGGTTTGCTGAGGAGCAGCTTCAAGGAGCTGAGCTCTCCCTTCGAACTGCTGCGAAGCTCCAGGTTCTTGCAAATTCGCCTCGCCCAGATGTTGCTTCTGCAGCTGGGCAACGGCTGGGAGTCGGTCCTGGACTCTTTCATGATCTCCACACTTGGTGCTTGCCTTATGGACGGGTTTCGGTGATCTCACAGACATGGTTTGCAGAACTCTTGCAGATGTAAGTATGTATGTATGTATGTATGTATGTATGGATGGATGGATGGATGGATGGATGGATGGGTGAATGGATGTATGTCTATGTATGTATGTATGTATGTATGTATGTATGTATGTATGTATGTATGTGTATATGTATGTGTATATATATATATACCCTCCCCCCGCATGGTCCATGGTCCAGGATGCCACCCTCCCCCCCCTGTGGGTGGGGTGTGGGGTCCCTCTTCCCCCTGTGGTGTGGTTGTGGGGTTTTGGGGTTTAGGGTTTAGCTTAAGCTTTTGAGTTTGAGGTTTAGGGCTTAAGGTTAAGAGTTATAAGGCTTAGAGTCTGTGGGGTGTAGGTTGGTTAAAGCTTAGAGCCTGCATTTAAGCAGGATTTAGGCTTCGGTGGTACAGGTTAAGGTTAATGAAAAAAGCAACACGCCCCACGTTATAGGGTTTATGGCTTGCGGAGGGCTTGCGTAAGATCCCGGCCGCCGCCCACAGCAGACCCAACCGGCCAGGCCGCTCTCCGCACACGCCAGCCCCTCCCGCCCCCCACCCCTACCAGACCATACCA